CCAGACCTTGTTTTCTCATAATTCGACTCTGAATTTTCAACTGTATCCTTCATGTTCATTTTTACCTTCAAAATTTCATTGGTTTTCACGTGTTCAGCCCATAGTATACTCAACATCCATTTGTAGAACAATATATCGGATGCGTCCTGGGTATGACGATAAACTACATCCAACAGCAATGTCTCTGATAGAAGGCTTTGAGGAGGGTGGAACCACTTCTTAATTGCTGGTGTGCCCAGTTCCACCCTGATCCGGGGTAGTAGCACCTGTTAGGGTCTCAGCTATGGGCAAATAGTTAACCACAAAACTGGGGTCAAAACAGTATTAAAGTGTAAAAATAGGTTTTAATGACAACAATATATTTTTGTAAACAAATTACTAACAGTAAATGTTTGAAGAAAAAAGTATTACCAGCAATACATAATTACCAGCATTACATTTTTGAAAAAAATATTAACAGCAATACATTTTGGTAAAAAAAAAAAAAAAAAAAAATTATTACCTGCAATGTATTTCGTGAAAAAATATTAGCAGTAATACATTTTTGAAAAAAACAAAATATTACTAGCAATAAAAATGTTGTCAGAATTAAATACCCCATTGAGGTATTGATATGCTCTAAAATAAAACAACCCGAACCATATCGGAATATTACAGTTTCTTCATCTGTAAGAATAATATGTCCAGCATTGGTCACCATTTAGATATGGCACAGCATTTCAGAATTTTTTTCTTTGTTTCTAAAGAACTTTCCTACTTACTTAGTATTTGCCTGCTGTCAGCTAGGCATTTTTCGTTATTTCAATGTGCCTTCACATGACTCTATCGCAAACCCTGACATCTTTTATTAGCCTACACATTAAATTTCTGTAAATGGTTCTGATGCCACCAATTCGATACTCAGACCTTTGAATGTGGTGTGATGGTTAGCAAGCTTGTCTCGCTAGAACTATTACGACTGAGTAGTGAGTTCGATCCTGACTGGGTATGCCATACTTTAGGCCTTGTGCCACATCTAAGCAGCGCTTAGAAAAAGTTTGGACACCTCGAGGTGGTGTAATGATTAGCAAGCTAGTCTCGCTAGAACTATTACGACTGAGTAGTGAGTTCGATCCTCACTGGGTACCCCATACTTTCGGCCTTGTGCCACATCTGAGCTACGCTTGGAAAATCACTAGAAGGAAACAGAAGAAGGCAGACATTTTGGCAGGTAAGTCACTTGACCTCTACAGCTACCCACATATACAGTACCTTGTATTTCTACCCAGGTACAGGACAGCCCCCCAATGTAGCTTAACTACGGTGATCATAAGGAAACTGATGTTTCAACGTGATATGGTCGTAAGCCTTTTGAACAGGAGTGGAGGTTTATTACTTGTTTTTTTTTTTTTTGTTTTTTTTTTGTTTAGGATTGTGTTTCCGGTTCCTTTTAAAGTTTACTTCAACTCCATATTTCTATCTCCGTTTGAAGTCTGAAATTTTATTTAATAATTATTTTCCCTCATCAATATGTGTAGACAGGTTCACCTATTGTCCAGTTTCATTCCTCTCCGGTCTTTTGAACAGGAGTAGCAATTTTTCATTTGTTTCCTGTTTAGGATTGAGTTTCCGGTTCCTTCTAACGTCTTCTTATACTCTTTCATTCCCAGTAGCCCCTTGCGTCTTCGTTGCATTATCGTCCTGCCTGGGGTTTATTGATTTTTTTTTTTAAAATATCGTGGATTCGTCTAATACCTTGTCCATATGAAGACGAATTTTTCTAGCACTTCAGCTGTAGATTTTTTTTTTCATACAGTGATTAACGAAAACTTGTCTATTTAAACAACCCCGCCTGTTTTTCATTCCTTTGAAAACGCATACGTGAAGGGGAAAATCTCCTTTCTTAATAAATAAAGAAGAAAATTAATAATAAATAAACAGGGCTCTTATTTATCAAAAGGGAACAAGAAACAAAGAGAATTTAAGTACACAACCAAGAAATGGCGTAAAATCTTCACGGAAATGATTATCTGGATATCGTAGAAGAGAAGCAGCCAACACTAAACAGAAAGAGTATACATACGTCAGCCAAAATACCGTCAAGAAAAAATACGAATGACTAAACCTCAAGAAGGAAATTTAAATGCAGTAAAAACCTATGCAGTTTCTAGTTTTATCTATTCCAGATTATTCTTAAAAAACAGATAAAAGAGAAACCAGAAATATATTGGGCTAGGAAAACATTCGTGGCATTTTTAAGTAAATTTTGAAGAAAATACTTAGATATTCAAACATAAATTTAACTGTTGTTTTGCTATACTGTGTTTGGCCTTGACTGGCGAAAAATTATATCATAAATTCAAACAATTTAATCTGGTTTGCGTAAGGCAGATTTATGAATCCAGAATGTTTGCTATTAACTAAAACTATTTGGCATCGTATCTGTTATTAGGTTAAGAAGTTAACGTCCGATTTTAGAATCATTTGTCCTGGATTAATGTATTTAAAGTGTTTAAATCATTCAAAATTGTAATCTTTATAGATTTATGCCGTCGAGATACAAGTTTATTCACACCCAAATCTTTGAATGCAGTTTCTGCATCTTCTTTGCGCAGCATGTCTTTTCGCACAAAAGATTGTCAAAATGCCTCAAAAATTGGTAGTCAATAGGCGAAAAATCGGTAGTCAATAGGCGAAAAATCAGAGGAATAGGGCGGGTATATGAAAGTTTGCTTTCTCAAGCTGGTAAGCATCTGCAGTTTAATCCTGGCACCATGTGGGCATGAACTCTCATGAAGCAGAATTGCATTTTGCTTCACCCAGTGTGTATTTCAAACAATTTCTGGCAGTAGATTTCGACAGTGATGCCCTGGTTAGATTTCAGAAAGCTGTAACAGATAACACTAATGTCGGAACACCAGATAGTTGCCATAATGTTCTGTTGGTGCAATTTCGATTTTAGAAAGTGTTTGAGTGCTTTGTCATGATCAAAACATTGAAGTGATCGTTTTCGATTCTCATAAGGGATTAATTTCTTATCAACATTCACTCATTGATCAAGCAATAGATAATCTGGGTTTAGCAAATGTGGCATCAAACACACTTTAAAATGTCGACTTTCTTCACCATGCCAATTTTCTTGAGATGATCACCCATTGTTGAAATACTGACACTCATTAAATACGACATTTCTCTCAAAAAGTTTTTCCGATTACCATTTTTAGATGTTGATTTCCAATTACAGATGGCTGCCTCCTTACCAGCTTGATCTTCAGGACTCGTCTCCCCACTGTGGAAGTTCAGAAACCAGCCCTGTATTATCCGATCACAAGTGGATCCTTCACTCCATGCTCTGTTAATACTGGCACCAGTTTGAGAAAAGGATTTCACTATTGATTCAAATTCCCATGTTTTTCTTTGCGTTGACAATGCAAGAACGACAATAAAACAAGAAAAATGTTGAACATGGTTGGTGTATTTTCTCCATCCGCCATATGAACTTGACCATGGACCAACCGATTATTACCGATTTCGATCCCTGCGAAACTCTTTGATGGAGGAAAAAATATTTAATGGAAACTCGATTCAAGTGTTTGCAAAAATATTTGAAATCAAACACGATGGGATTTCTTCCTAGCCAATAAGGTAGGCCACCGCTCGGTCTCATCGGACTTAGTTCTGTTCTTTCTTGTCTTGAAACCAAAATGCTGCGATCGCTTGTCTGTATCCCCTTTTCCATATTAACACCATTCTTAGATTGTGCCTTTTATGCCTACTTTTGTCTTGCATATTTTGCTTAAATTAAAAATGTCACCGTACCATAACGAAGAGCTCATTCGAAAAATTACCATGAAAGACACAGCGAGGTAACCTTTCGTCAGTGAAAAACTGACTGAAACCGAGCCACCGGATCAGAAATGATAATATCGTTGATTCTTTGGATTTTATCAAGGAGCTCAAGGTAAATAGCAAGGATACAGGACAATATACGGCAGCAATATTTTAAACATGGACGAATGGTAGACTTGTAGATATGTAAGAAAGATTCTGCTCAGAACACAGTGAACCAACCTTCTTAGTAGCTGACCTAGCAATGGATTCAATATAGTCTTTCCACTTCATGTCAGCTGAAAATTTTAGTCCTGAAAGGAGCATCGATTCATTTTCCTGGTAGTTAGGTCTCCCAGATTATAAATGTCGAGAAGTTTGGGGGGCGTTAAAAATAACAAACCTTCTTTTGCTCCAGTTAACAACGGACTTTATGTTGTGGACATTGGCTGACATTATGATCTTGTTATTGTTTATTGCGAACTTTATCAATTCTGTTTGTCGCTCATTTTTACCAATTATGTTTAACCATGGCCACTTACTCTACAGATGGCATAGAATCTAGTCTTTTGTACCCATTAGGTCTCTGTTTGTATGGATCCGAGCGTTCACAGTGGCAGGGTCATCCAAGTTGTGATAGAATTATTTGGTGAGTGCATTCTCACTCAGAAATTGATTCGTCGAAATATGTCCAAACACGATTTCAATCTTCTCTAATAATGCAACTGATGGTAACGCCACCTTTCCGTTAGTATTAGCCTGAGGTAATCAACTTGGTGATTGGTGACCACCTACTGGTTCTAACGTGAGAACCGCCCAGGGCTTACATGGCTGTTGGTCAAATATTGAACATCATGTCTCAGAAATGTGTGATTGTGTCAGCAACTTGCTGCCTTCAGTAAAAGAAATAGACTGTTTTCAACACATTCGATCACAGAAATTGTTATATTGCATTCCCCTTGCATAAGTGGGATGCTCCGAAAGTAAAGCCTCCAAATTTAATTCCACGGAAACTGCAATATACCTGGAGTTCAATATCAGAGTAGGTTTAGGGTTACGGTTACGGTTTCAGGTATAAAACAATTATTCCACTAATCTCAAAGCTATTAGTCATTTATTAGTTTCGGTCATAATTTTTCCCGTTTTCGTTTATCAATTTTATTCTTCAAAAAAATTATAACTGTTACATCACAATGAATCACCGGTTCCTGTACGATCATCGCTGTTAAGCAAAGTCGAGCCTGGTCAGTAACTAGATGGGTAACAGCTTGGGAATACCAGGTGCTCGAAGCTTGGGTGTGTGGGTGATTTAATGCATAATGTCTCGGAATGCTTAATCGGAGTACCGAGTTCCAATTCCAATTGGGTTCGTTATATTCACTTACGCAAAAATACCTCTGGAAATGGCATGAATCCGCCTCTTCTACTTCAATATATGGCTTAAGTAGTAAGACTTTTATCATTAAATCATTATTATCTGAAAGGAAATTCTTAAAATCTAAAAAAATATTTTCTGGTATTAAAACGAATTAATCGAACTTCGAAAGGTGTTGATGTTTTTGAAAAAAAATCTTATAAGTTTAACCAATAAAGCACTTTTTTCTTTTTTTAAATATTGGGATCACCTTATGCAACGTAGTAAAGCCACTTAAACACAAGGGATTACAGTGTGTGGAAAAATTAAGAACAAAAACATTAATAATGAGCGGGAAGAGGAAAGAATATCAAGACAGTAGATAGCGATAGACATTGCATTTAAATTTTTGCAGGTTAAAGTTGGATGGAAAGCATAGAGCTGGAAGGGAGTTCCACAAGTAAGAAGTGTGAGAAAAGAAACTGTTAGCAAAGAATTTACGGCTACATCTAACCAGCCTAACTTCAAATTGATGAGATCTCGATTCCAGTCTAATATTGCGCATAAATTCAAAAAGTCCAGGTACCTCAGCAAAGAGCTTTACTTAATTGTAAATGATTTTATTTAATCAGTTTCACTTTCAGAATTCTATATAAATTTATATCTAAAAATTATTATATAATAATAATTATTGGAATACTTTGATGAAGAAATAAGATAACTTTCGCTTTCAGTTGAATTCATTTAGCCGGCAGCTTTTTTTAAAATATCCATTTGAATAATATTCATCAGGGTTTGATACGATAATTTTTCGACCAATTTAGCCATATTTACAATCCAAGCAATGTTAAAATTTTCAGTTAACTTTCTTTTCATTAGTAGCAGATGTTCGCTAAAATTATTTTTAAAAGAATCCACAAAAGACACACGTAGTGAAATTCAAAGTCTCGTATTATTTGGCTTCCATAAGTAGCTCAGTTTGATGCATCACCACCCACATCTAGATCAGTTCAGAAGGCGTAGGTAGTGTAATGAAAAAGTGGAATCGGCCAGTCAAGTTCAAATCCTGACTGAGCCTGTTTCATCCACTTCCGCACAAAATGCCCCTTTTTACGGTAAGGTTCAACATACACAAAGCCCGAGGGCCACTCGAGGTAAAGGGTTACGCAAGGAGGCAACTTATACGGATAAGAGTGGAAGATGTTTAACTCTAACCTTAAACAGGTTTAAATTGTAATGATCGAGGAAATATCCTCTTGGGAGTCGGTTCCACAGGCAGTTGTTTTCGGGAAGAATCTGTTAGTGTGGAACTTACTTCTTATCGATGGAATACAAAGGGAATATCGGTGGTTTGCTATTATAAGAGTGGCATGACGCGTCCCTGTATGACCAGGGAATGTACTTCATCAGATCGATGGAGATTGGAGCGTGGGGAACAATTCATCACCCACAAGGGCTCGGAGACGCATTTGAATATCAAGTCTGGAGGGTGAGATATGGGCAGCTCACGCCCAAATCTGATGACAGTATTCCATTTTTGGCCTGTTCTACATCTTTAAACATAGACGATAGCAGATGGTGTCAGGTAATTACTACCATTGGGAAAAAGCTGAATCTACCTTTTCCCGCACAAGGTATTGGCTAAATAGCAGGGTTGTTGAGATATATTCTTGTTCACTGCCCTTTTGCGGTTTACATTTTCAAACGTTAATTTACTCCAAATTCATAACTCATGATTAGTAGATAGGACGATACATTTGTCATTGTATGGAGCCCCAAAAGGGTAGGTACTCTTGACTGAAACGAATATTACCGCCACAGATGTACGACAGCAGAAGTGCAGCACATGTGCCCATGAATCTCCTTCTCACACTTGATGAAACCTATTTAGATTATTTATATTATTTGGACTGTTATCCTCATCTTCTTTGCAATATTCACAACGTTTCGGCCGTTGTAGGCTCCGATCTACTTCAGGTGATCAGGATTTCGATCCGAACCCTTTATTTCGTCCACCAGGGTAGATTGTTTTGTCCTAGCTCCACATGCCATATTACTTCCGGATGTCACACTTATTTCGCTTTAACTCTCTGTCCCTGAGGATACATGGCCCAGTGAATGAAGACGTTGTTAATATCGCAATGAAGATGATGATAACATTACGAATAATAAAAATAATCATAATAGCGCATATCAGAGATAGAGACAGATATTGGTGAAACCTGTTGATTACAGATTCAGCTCAAATGCACGGTTTAGCTTAAGCGTGCATCAAGTGTCAGTGAATATCAGTGGTTAATTTCTTTCGTGCGTCTGACTTCTGCTGGACAGCCTAAAACTGGAACAAAGCAACAAAAATATCATTGGTTATTGGCAAGAATTTGGATATGCTTCTGGCATTAAACCAACAAATTCAGCTGAAGGTGTGAGCTAACATAATCAAAACCACCTCTCTGGTTACCACAGACATAACACACACACACACACACACACACACACACACACACACACACACATATATATATATATATATATATATATATCTACCGACAAGGTCAAAATGACTGTTGATGTGCAAAACGCCTGAAAACCGGCGTTAACTGCGGCAAAAGATGGCTTGTCAATTTCGATGACCCCAAAACTAAACATCTCTCTATTAATCATCTGAGAGATGCCTCTCTGCTTTCCATGAACATGGTTGATGCTATCCTCCAGGAAAGGGGCTCATTGCGCCTTCTTGGGCTAACTTTCTCAGCTGACATGAGGTGGAAAGACTACATTGGATCCGTTGCTAGGTCAGCTGCTAAGAATGTCGGTTCACTGTGTCGCGTGAGATAATTCCTCTCTTCTGAATCTATCTTGCATATCTATAAGTCTCTCATTCGTCCATGCTTAGAATATTGCTGTCATATATGGTCCTGTGCCCCTGCGATTTACCTGGACCTCCTTGATATGATCCAAAGAAGAATCAGCAATATTATTGGTCCTGATCTGGTGGCTCGGCTTCAGTCACTTACCCGTAAGGTTGCCTGTCTGTGCATTTTTTATAAATAATTTCATGTTAATTTTTTGGATAAGCTCTTCTTCAGGGTACCTAGACTGCATGAATTTAAGTGCAGTACCAGACTGTCGGTGAGATCGCATCAAATTACAGTTGAGCTAGCTAGATACAGCCGTAACTTCTATGCTAAAAGTTTCTTTTCTCGCACTTCTCGCTTGTAAAACTCACTTCCGGTTCCATGATTTCCAGCAAACTTTAATGTGCAAAAATTTAAATGCAATGCCAATCGTTATCTACTGTCCTCCTGATTGCTTTTTTCCCTTTCTACTCATTACTAATGTTTCTGTTCCTAATTCCTCCATACCCTGTAACCCCTTGTTGTGTTTTGGTATTACGTGGGAGGATAACTCCGTCGTCCCTGTACACACCAGATGAAGGAGTTGTCCTCCTACATAACAGAAACCCACAACAAACAGATCGGTTTAGTAAACACCTTATGAAATTCTTCAAACGTTGAGGACTAAATATCACTACTAACACTAGTGTCAAGTTGATCAACTTTCTGGACACTACTTTCGACCAGCCCAAAGAAATTTACATGCCTTATACTAAAAAGGTTCATAACCATAAATACATTCGCAAAAAATCAAACTGCCCACCAGGAATTTTAAACAAATGACACAAATCAAGGCAATACAGACTCTCAACAAACTCTAACAACAAAATTATTTTTGACAAATATAAAACTAAGTATGTAGATGCATAGAAAAAGTAAACGAAGTCAAGCTGGAATACATAAAGAATGCCAGCAATAAACATGAGAATAGAAAACGCAACATAATTTGGTTTAATCCACCATTTAACAACAATTTTAAAAACAATATAGGTCTACCATTGCTCAACAAAATATTCAACCAAAACAGAATTAAGACTAACTACAACTGCACCAAAAACCTCGAACTGTATATAGCACATTCCCTGGTGAAGCTTTAATAAATGTGAAACATGTCAGATTGATAAATGTTTCGTATTTGTTCATTATCTCATATATATATATATATATATATATAGGTGGGCCTGACGATTGCGTCTAGCATGTAACAGCCTGTCGACTTTAAGTGTTGACTTCAATATTCACACCCTCTATCTCTGATATTGAGCACTTTATCCCATAAATATAGCACACCTTAATAGTATATTTCTTCATTCATATATATATATATATATATATATATATATATATATATATATATATATATAAATCTGTTTACACTTTATATTATAGATATTATTTATTTAAGTAAATATTTATGTTTTTAATTAAACAGTATTAATTACATTTACCGGCCTGAATAGAAAATATGCGTTCTCCGGCATGAACCGAACCTGTAACCTTAATAGGCAAAGTCATTTGATCTGGCAGCTTATCAACCATTCAACCACAGACAAACATAAGCAAAGTTCGAATTACTGTTTATAAACACAAACCTTCAATGATTTTTTCTCGCTCGATCTTTTCTGCACATGAAACATATCTAAACGTAAACAAGGACAACATATTATGAAATGGATTAAGTTCGACAATTATTTGATATATTTTCTGTTTATACGTTATTTTTTATAGATATAAATGTGTATGTGTGTGTGTGTGTGTGCTATCTCTAGTACGAAGGACGGCGGACAAAATAAATACTGTTTAAAATAAGATTATCGGCTATAAATAACGTGATGTAATATATATATATATATATATATATATATATATATAGAAGTCAACATTAGAGGCGACAGTCTGTTTCATGCGAGATGCAATCGTCACGCCAACATGAAACATGGTGAAGCATGAAACAGACTGTCGGCTCTAGGTGTTGACTTCTATGTTCACTTTTATATTTACATACGTTCTATCTCTGATATTGAGCACTTTATCC